AGTCAGACCACTCACTAATAAGTGGGATTGAGAGAAGGGGATGCAGCACTATACGCTAGGACAAAAACACAGAAGAATCAGTCATGCCACAACAGTTGAGCAGAAAATTGGTCAAAGGGATTACCTTTATTGACCAATTTGATAGGTTGTTACTGTGCTTAGAAGGCTGTAACTTTTCATGAATACTATGGCAGAGGACGCAGAATTAGCTAGGCTCGGCAGGGTCTTCGATCAAGTGGTGAAAACTAGGTTAGATCAACACTATATTACTTGAGGTGATAGAAGCCAAACCCAAGACCACATTATTTTTGCCTTCATATCCACGAATAATAATGATAATTTATTAATACTTTAGATATAATTTTTGGGCAGATGTCCTTAATCGAACATTCTTCGTTTTTTTACTTTACAACTCTGGTGATTTATATACCTCTTCGATGCCTATTCGATGGATTAGATTATTGTGGCTTATATAGGATCACGCTAAATTTTGGTGTTACGTATTTCTTTTTTGTTATCATATTATTCATACCCTAATTAAATTTCGCTTCTTCTCCTACTAGATTTTTGCTACACTCTGTCACATACCCTCCTGTTTAACTGGCTTGGTCCCTTCGATATCCACTGGCTCGTCTTGTCTTCGCAACCTAAAGGAGATGTACATGGAAGCTGCACTCTGTCTGCTCCGCCTGGCACGTGGACACTCCTCCTGCTTGGTGCCCCACTTCCAAGCTGTTTGCAATTTGGCCAGCCAAATATGGTCGGTCACCATAAACAATAGCAATAGTAGTACTAATCAAGTACCTCTAGTCAATAATACCCATAATACCTTAAGTTCAATAAACTTCCCGGGATCTCAGCTAATGCCCGGACGTCTGATGGATCGCTCAATCCTCCTCGAAGCCCTCGTCACATTAACACTACGAATGCCCTCAACGGCTGGTTCTCTCGAACAACAGCGCGATTTCCTGGCTAGCCTGATTGACACAAGTGGTTTAGCTCAGTGGTATAGCGCCAAAACATCTGATAGTGTGACCGGCTCTGCAGCTGCGATTCTTTCTAGGATCTTAGACAGTCCAGACGACTCTGCAACTGGCTCTGGTGAAACCAGTCCTGCACAAATTCTGATTCGGCAAATCGGACTAGACCTTCCTTTGCCCACTCCTGGTAGCCCTGAAGCGCAGGTCAATCAACCCTGTGTATCTACTCGAATTGACTTGACAAGGCTGATTTTCTATCTGCTTTCATTTATTCGTCGTTTGGCGGAACCACCAAACTACAACCAGGTTAGAGAACTTTCTACCGATTTAAACTGGAGCCATGCCCCGTGATGACTCTGACATATGATTTTATTTTCATCCACTATTTTATTCTCTATGATTTTTCATCCAATTTGGCCCCCAGTTTTGACCACATCCCAACTAACTGTAACCTACACTGACTCATATGCTTCAAATTATAATACGTTCTCATTCAACCATATTTCTTTATTGCCACTTGGTCAAAGATAAAGGACTAAGGCAGTAAAGATCTGTATATAAGTTAAATTAATATTTGATTTGAAGCTATCGCTTGGTAGGTAACTCACCCAGCAGACCTTGTAAAACTAAATTTACTTGCATCCCTTAATTTAAGGCATATTGATAGTTTTCAGCACTATTAAATCTCACAAGTATTATTTTCAAGAAAATGGTTAACTTTAACTTGAACTAAATGAAGAATTATCTGCCTCGGTTTGATGACTGCCCTCTTGTATGCATTACATTTATGTCATGGGTAACCCATGATGGTGTGTTCAAGAATGCGTGTGTATGCTAACCCATGCCTCGTTTCAGCTTAGAATATAAGTTTTTTATCTGAGGTCGATCGAGGTAGTGCTGGAAGTGATATTTTCATTTCCCACAATTAGGGACGATTTAAGTTCTTATTATTTCTTTCTTGCTATCCTTAAAATATACTCATAATGTAATTCATATTTAGCCATTTTTGTTTTACTATCTTGCTTTTAATGAGCCATCCAACCAAGTCAGGATGTGCCTCATTTAGCTCAAGTTCGACCTAAGCTATTTTTTTAGTGAAACCTTTTATAGTCAATATATTTTGGGGTAAGTACCTTATTGAAATGATGACTCTATTATCATGCTTTCGAGAGATCCATCCTAGACGAACTTTTAGCATTGCTTTATCTAAGACAAAGTTTTGTATTCTGAGGACTGCGGTGATCCCCATGACGAACTAATGGACTAAATAGCCAGCAGACCAACGGCTACTTTACTTCGGCTTTTGTTGAGACTGTTCAACTAATCCTCTTGTCTCACATTTTGGAGTTAACTGAGAATGATTCTCAAATGACGATCGCATTGGTTTATGCTAAAGCCAATTGAATCCGAAACCGATACATCCTTTTCATTGTTTAATTTAACTATCAAGTCTGGCAATACAAAAACAGCCTTTGATGACCATTGCTCTTTTATTTTTTTTCTTAAGAATTTGTTTATCATGATCCTGCCTATTACTGGCTGAAACATACATAGCGATTATCTGTTGTATTTCCTTTTCTATTTTTCGAATAGGATTTCCCTTACTTTTATTCAGGATCCTTACTCTTACATTATTTGAAGAAATACTTTGAAAAAATAAGCCGCTAACTCGGTTTAAACTTAGATTTATTAAAATTTTAGCTTGAACATATCTCCTTACCTTTAACGGAACGATTTATGCTGCCGGTGCTCAAATTGCTACGGTAGGCTCTCTCATTATTTTTTTATTTTCACTTATTTGTATTTGATATTCACTACGTTTTCCAAAATACCTTCCTAATCCAAGTACTAGCTCACTTTTAGTTTACTAGAACTCTAGTTATTTTTAGCATTTGATGACATTGTTTAAATTACGATATTTTTCGTAGATTACAGAGTTCTTCTATCTTGAAATGTACTATGGACTCTAATAATGTTTGGTTCATCTTCCTATATCTAAGTTCATGAAGTTTCCCGCTAAGGTTTTTAGGGGGTCATTTATTATTTGGACCACCTGCTCGGGACTTATTTATTCCTTTAGAGGAAGCTATTATATTTGTAAAATCGATTTTTATCACTGAAAATAACGATAACAGAGCAAATGATTGAAGATGTGAAGACCAAGATGTTGTGGCCTCGGGTATGGTCTCATTCTCCTTTCGACTTATAGAAGTGGGTTGACCTCGTTGTCGCAACTTGGTCTTGTGTTCAGGGAGACT